CACCCAAGATCTTAGCTCTGCGAGACTCTAATGTTGTGCACTTACATAAGATATGTTCTGAGGTTCAATCTTGTAGGCCACAGAATCTGCATGGATTCGTTGAAGAGTTGCATAGAATGAATTGATGGTATCTGAGACCAAAATGTCCAGTAGGTAATCCCGTTAGAACTGAACTAGAAGTGAACTAGAACTGAACTAGAACTGAACTAGAACTGAACTAGAACTGAAGTAGAACTGAACTAGAACTGAACTAGAACTGAACTAGAACTGAACTAGAACTGAACTAGAACTGAACTAGAACTGAACTAGAACTGAACTAGAACTGAACTAGAACTGAACTAGAACTGAACTAGAACTGAACTAGAACTGAACTAGAACTGAACTAGAACTGAACTAGAACTGAACTAGAACTGAACTAGAACTGAACTAGAACTGAACTAGAACTGAACTAGAACTGAACTAGAACTGAACTAGAACTGAACTAGAACTGAACTAGAACTGAACTAGAACTGAACTAGAACTGAACTAGAACTGAACTAGAACTGATCTAGAACTGAACTAGAACTGAACTAGAACTAAACTAGAACTGAACTAGAACTGAACTAGAACTGAACTAGAACTGAACTAGAACTGAACTAGAACTAGAACTGAACTAGAACTGAACTAGAACTGAACTAGAACTGAACTAGAACTGAACTAGAACTGAACTAGAACTGAACTAGAACTGAACGAGAACTGAACGAGAACTGAACTAGAACTAAACTAGAACTGAACTAGAACTGAACTAGAACTGAACTAGAACTGAAATACAACTGAACTAGAACTGAACTAGAACTGAACTAGAATAGAACTAGAACTGAACTAGAGCTGAACTAGAACTGAACTGAACTAAAATTAGAACAGCTTTCTGTTTTTAAATATAATGTGAGATTTTTATTTTTAGTAAATGTGCCCAAACCTTTTTAAAACTACCCTTAAGAAATTTAATTTCAAACCAAAAAATAATTTCAATCAAACGTTTAAATTAATTAACCTCCTCCAGCTTAGCCAGCAGGCAAATAAAAATCAATTTAATTTGATTAGAACTGATATAAATAACTCGTTGTTCCACATCCCCATAGAGAGCAGACTGTGACTACCGTAATTATTATATGTGACGTTTTTTTAATCAAATATTTTCCATTTTTATGAACACAATGAATTATGAACACAATGAATTAAAATCGAAATAAGTATTTTTTTATCAACCCCATGTGAGCAGGTGACATATTGGAGTGGGTAGTTGAAAATAGTTTTTATTTGAAATAATTTTAATGGTTTCGTGCTGCTCTTGCTGCTCTGACAATATCGCTAAAACTAAAATGGAAATTGAATCTAATTAGTGGTTTGAGAGCAGCCAAAACAAAAATATAAAGAAAAAACAATTTAATTTATTGAACTTGTTCGTTGAATTTTTATATTATTTGAAAATGCAATCAAATTAAGTTTATAATAGCGGAATTGCATGCGTAATTCAGTTTATCTGGAAATTTGTTCTATATACATACATACGTTTTCATTAACCTAAATTTTATACTTCATTTTGTTAAATAGTGGCACTTATATGAAAATTGTTTAGTCTAAACTTTTTTATTTATTTTAATAGAAGAAGAGAAAAAAATATTATTACCAAATAGAATTTTTGTATGATAAGTTGGTTAGATATATTTTTTTTAAATTCTTGCATACATTCTATACATGTGTATGTATGAACATGTTCATTCGTGTTCGTCTATAATGTTTAGACGTGTTCATTAACAAAACAAAAAATAGCTACTAACAAACAGCTGTTACAAATTGCCTTAAAAAGTGGACAGTTGTCTTTATGATGTTCAAGAGGGCTGTATAAACTGTGGTGAAGACAAATACGGAACGAATGTATATAACTAAATTCATTACTTTTGCTACCGTCCCGAAAATTTGCTTAAACTGAACTAAAACGGAACTAAAACAGATCTAGGACAGAACTAGAATAGAACGAAAACCCAACTAGAAGATTACTAAAACAGAACTAGGAAAGAATTAGAAAAGAACTAGAACAGAACTAGAACAGAACTGGAACAGAACTGGAACAGAACTAGAACAGAACTAGAAGATTACTAAAACAGAACTAGAACAGAACTAGAACAGAACTAGAACAGAACTAGAACAGAACTAGAACAGAACTAGAACAGAACTAGAACAGAACTAAAACAGAACTAGAACAGAACAGAACTAGAACAGAACTAGAACAGAACTAGAACAGAACTAGAACAGAACTAGAACAGAACTAGAACAGAACTAGAACAGAACTAGAACAGAACTGGAACAGAACTAAAACAGAACTAGAACAGAACAGAACTAGAACAGAACTAGAACAGAACTAGAACAGAACTAGAACAGAACTAGAACAGAACTAGAACAGAACTAGAACAGAACTAGAACAGAACTGGAACAGAACTAGAACAGAACAGAACTAGAACAGAACTAGAACAGAACTAGAACAGAACTAGAACAGAACTAGAACAGAACTAGAACAGAACTAGAACAGAACTAGAACAGAACTAGAACAGAACTAGAACCGAACTGGAACAGAACTAGAACAGAACTAGAACAGAACTAAAACTAGAACTAGAACAGAACTAGAACAGAATTAGAACAGAACTAGAACAGAACTAGAACAGAACTAGAACAGAACTAAAACAGAACTAGAACAGAACTAGAACAGAACTAGAACAGAACTAGAACAGAACTAGAACAGAACTAGAACAGAACTAGAACAGAACTAGAACAGAACTAGAACAGAACTAGAACAGAACTAGAACAGAACTAGAACAGAACTAGAACAGAACTAGAACAGAACTAGAACGGAACTAGAACAGAACTAGAACGGAACAAGAAAAGAAATAGAACAAGAACAGAAAAGAACAGAACAAGAACAGAACAAGAACAGAACAGAACAGAACAAGAACAGAACAAGAACAGAACAAGAACAGAACAAGAACAGAACAAGAACAAGAACAAGAACAGAACAAGAACAGAACAAGAACAGAACAAGAACAGAACAAGAACAGAACAAGAACAAGAACAAGAACAGAACAAGAACAGAACAAGAAAGAACAAGAACAGAACAAGAACAGAACAAGAACAGAACAAGAACAGAACAAGAACAGAACAAGAACAGAACAAGAACAGAACAAGAACAGAACAAGAACAGAACAAGAACAGAACAGAACAGAACAAGAACAGAACAAGAACAGAACAAGAACAGAACAAGAACAGAACAAGAACAGAACAAGAACAGAACAAGAACAGAACAAGAACAGAACAAAAACAAGAACAGAACAAGAACAGAACAAGAACAGAACAAGAACAGAACAAGAACAGAACAAGAACAGAACAAGAACAGAACAAGAACAGAACAAGAACAGAACAAGAACAGAACAAGAACAGAACAAGAACAGAACAAGAACAGAACAAGAACAGAACAAGAACAGAACAAGAACAGAACAAGAACAGAACAAGAACAGAACAAGAACAGAACAAGAACAGAACAAGAACAGAACAAGAACAGAACAAGAACAGAACAAGAACAGAACAAGAACAGAACAAGAACAGAACAAGAACAGAACAAGAACAGAACAAGAACAGAACAAGAACAGAACAAGAACAGAACAAGAACAGAACAAGAACAGAACAAGAACAGAACAAGAACAGAACAAGAACAGAACAAGAACAGAACAAGAACAGAACAAGAACAGAACAAGAACAGAACAAGAACAGAACAAGAACAGAACAAGAACAGAACAAGAACAGAACAAGAACAGAACAAGAACAGAACAAGAACAGAACAAGAACAGAACAAGAACAGAACAAGCGAACAGAACAAGAACAGAACAAGAACAGAACAAGAACAGAACAAGAACAGAACAAGAACAACAAGAACAGAACGAACAAAGAACAGAACAAGAACAGAACAGAACAAGAACAAGAACAGAACAAGAACAGAACAAGAACAGAACTGAACAGAACAGAACTAAAACAGAAGTGAAAAATCATGTAGTAGAGCTGTAAATATTTTTTACAAATTTTAAATAATGTAATGATGTAAGTACATTTATGTAATCATTATATTACAATCAATTGTGTTTACCACAAAATATTATATTGGCTATTTAGAAATAGATAATTTTATTGATAAAACTAGTATATGTTTATATCAACTTATGGAATTAGTCATTCCGATAAAGTGCAATGAGTCAGTATATAAATAAAATCAAAATATTAAGAGTTTACAATAATTGGATATGGAACTACTTTAAACATATTTGTGTTTAGGGAAAATTGTGGAATGATTGTGACTGTAGAAGGTAAACTCTGTTGTATTAGTAATTCAGCTAATGAATGTTAATTCATGTTGCAAGCAAATTTTCGTTGAGAACTTCAGATGTTCGTTAGATTTTAAATAAATAAATATTTCATATTAAATTCTATTTCTAGTATTTCAAAAAAATCCCCTTAAAGTTTTCCTCTGCCTATAAACATGATTGGTCAAAAATGACAAACTAATTTTTTTTATGTGCTTCTGTACAATTTGTTTGAATGACAATACATACGTAGTATTTTAGATAAATATAAACTTTTTTGACAATAAAAATTTTGCTTAGAGCAAAGATAATAAATTATATTTAATATATACAAATATGTATCTATAAATATATTTATATATTGCAAAGCAAATTGAAATTTCCTAAAAATATTAAAAAACATATTTAAAAGCGGAAATGTTCTAAAACAATAATAAACACTAATTAAAAGAAAATATTTTATTATAACTTAAAATGACTTTAATAGAAAATGATGAAATAATTGTCATTTAAAGAAATTGTATAATTTTTCTAATAAAAAGAAAAATAAATAAAAATATCTTAAAGGGTTTAACAACTGAAATAAAGTATAAAATAAATTGAAAAATTACTTACTTTAAGCCCAATTTAATTTGTTCCAGTGTAGGCATGGTACCCATATTGTTTAAAAATTTGTTTTACTAGAGCTTTAACTTTGTTTAAATTTAAAAATAAATTCTTTTTAATTTACTGTATAAAATGAAAAATTTTTAATTTTTGTATTTTTAAAATTTTATATAATCACTATATTTATTATTTTATATTTCGTTTGTATACACACACAGGAAATTTTCAAATATTTTAATAATTCCCAACACTTATATCATTCATATCTAAGTGAAAAGCTTTTCCTTTTTATGTTGCTTCTAAATCCTTCTGCAAAGCTTTTTAATATCCTTTTATCACATGTACACAAAACAAATACTTTTAACGAAAAACAATAAAAGATAAAACAAACAATCTAGGTAAAAGCACTTTTATAATGGTCTTTTATTTACTTTTTTACTTTGGTATCACATAAAAGCTTTTATATATTTTTTTATATTTTATTACACTATATGTATTTATTTTCTTATAATAACAAGATTAAATCTTGTTTTTTTTACTAATAACTTTTCTCTTTTAATGAATCACAATTAATTTATTTTTGTTGTATTAAGCTTTTATTTTATTTTTCTTGTCTTAATTTTTATAGTATTTATTTTATTATTTGTTCTTTTTCAATTGTTTACAGTGTGTGCCTTTAGCGAAGGCAACTCGTCAACTGTTTGTCTGGTTTTTGCTATCATTAAACTAATGCTCACAACTGATTTACTTTTATGTTTCGGTTTTTCCGTGTAAATTTTTGTGTATATGCCTGGATGTGTCTATGTGTGTATGTGTTTGAGTATCTGTGTGTCTGCAATTTCTGTTCGAACGTTCGTTTATTCTATTCTACTGTGTGTTCTATTCGTGCGAAAATATATAAACAAACCAGAACTCAAAAGTTCTATACATGTTAAAACACTTCAGTGTTGTGTATTTAGCGGTTTTTAAGAAACTTATAATCAATTTTTATTGATTATACCCTACACCACTATAGTGGAGAGGGTATTATGCGTTTGTGCTGATGTTTCTAACACCCCAAAATATTGGACCTACACCCACCAATCGGCTAAGAATCACTTTCTGAGTCGATTTAGCTATGTCCGTCCGTCCGTCTGTCTGTGTGACCATGTAAACCTTGTGCGCACTCTACAGTTCACACTTTTCAAGATAATTTGATGAAATTTAGCACATACAACCGTACCACCGTCATGATCGCGCCTTATTTGACCCTTTCCCCCCGTACAAAGTCCTCTTCAGAAAATGTTGATATTCTGCATAATTAACTAATGTAGACGTAAATCCCTCCCATCAAAAAATTTATAAGGATAGGCAGATATTAAACCCCTGAACCCATATAACTTCTGATTTAGAAAATTGTTCGTAATAAATCTCTTTAAGATTTCTTTTTGTATAATAAAGCCCAATTGTAGTATTCATACTTTACCATCAAAACATATGGGGGTTATATGGACATTGTCATACCTAGTAAAATTCTAAAACGATCTAATCTAGAATTTAATGTATAAATGAATAATAATAAAAATAAAAATTAAAAAAAAAAAAAAAAATCTAGACATGTCTGTCCGTCTGTATTTTAAAGGTACGATAGAGACCTGAAGAATTAGGACCATTCTTCAGGTCTCTATCGTAGAAGATGAAATTTTCTATAATATGGACTTTGTCATTCCGTTCCGTATATCGATAACGATGGACATATCTACGATAGAGACCATAAGAATGGACCTAGGGAGATGAAATTTCCTAAAATGCCCCCGGAATATGGTTTAAATTGTTACAGAAATATTAATGTTAATGGCAGTAAATGCGATGAAACTTAAAAAAAAAATTAAATATAATATCAATAGAGATAATAGAGATAATATAAATCTTTATCGGTTCATAATTTGTCATAGTTCCCATAGAAGATGCACTTTCGAAAATCACTGAAATATATATAACTAATTAAGAAATAAAGATATCAGAATAAAAATCGACAGAAATATGTTTTGTTTATCAATTTGCAAAATATTTTTCTGATCGGTACGTAATTGGTCATATAAGGCCCACTTCCGATAACCACCTATAAAGACATATTTCATTAAAGTATATGTATATAAACAACCCTACGACATTTTTTTTTCGTATCGGCCAAGTATGAACCGATACTTCCACTTCCGAAAATTACTTAAATCCACATATTTTATTGATAAAAAAATATAAGAAGACAAAATTCCATATAAATATATTTTTGCTCAATTTTTTCCGGATTTGTCCATAATTGGCCATAGCTGTCATATATGGATGACATGAATGGCTATGTTTCACTACATAACAAGTTAGAAACTATAGTCGGGCGATGCCGACCATATAATACCCTAAACCTGTTACAAAAATAAAATGTTATTTAGTTTTCATATTAAAACATTTATATTGAATTGTACCTTGCCTCAGATATACTTAAGCCATTTATTGCTGAATAAAATTGTGGACATTTAAGTCAAATTTTGAAGGGGACTTTGTATAGAGGCTATGATCAAATGAGACCCTATACTTATAAAATTTATGAGGGTCATCAATGAGAACTTGGCTTTGCAGCCTTTTGTCGAGATACGAGTATAATAAACATAATTATGAACTTAAGAGCCCTATTCGGCGGGTTCAGTTGTATGGGGGCTAGGTGAAATAATGGACCGATCTTAACCATTTTCAATAGGCTTCGTCCGTGTGACAATAGAAGATCATGTATCAAATTTCATTGAATTATCTTCAAAATTGCGACCTGTAGTTTGATTACAAAGTTTACATGGACGGACGGACATACGGACACACAGACAGACGGACGGATGGACATAGCTAAATCGACTCAGAAAATGATTCTAAGCCGAGTGGTATACTTTTAGGTGGGTATAGGATCAATATTATTGTGTGTTACAAGCATCAGCACAAACCCAATATACCCTTCCCACTAAAGTAGTGTAGGGTATAATAAAGATATCAGAATAAAATTCGTCATAATAATTTACAGATGGAGGTATGGATTATAGCTGCCACAGTAGGTGATCTTCCGAAAATCATGTTACTTCATTAACAATTAACAAGTAATTGTAACTGTTACTGTTTCAATTATAATTACCTCCAATGTAATTATAATTTGCTTTAACAAAGCCTGCTAGTAAACATACTCGTACTAGTACACTATTTACATTTTAATACTTTGGTGATTTTTTCATTCTTACCAGTTGTCATCATTGCTCAATGTGTGTATTGAATTGTTAAAAAGCTTTTATTCTTGGCGTTTAAAGACTTTTTTGTTTCAACTGAATTTTTGTGTATGTATGCCCCTTTGGATCTGGTTTGTTGTTGGCGGCAAATTTTCAAAGTCAAGTTTGTTACATTTGAAATTTTGTCGTTTCATATTTATTTGTACTTTTTATACCCTACACCACTTTAGTGGGGAGGGTATATTGGGTTTGTGCTGATGTTTGTAACGCACAATAATATTGGTCCTATACCCACCTTAAAGTATACCAATCGGCTTAGAATCATTTTCTGAGTCGATTTAGCTATGTCCGTCCGTCTGTCCGTCCGTCTGTCCGTCCGTCTGTCCGTCTGTCCGTCCGTCTGTCCGTCCGTCTGTCCGTCCGTCCATGTAAACCTTGTAATCAAACTACAGGTCGCAATTTTGAAGATAATTCAATGAAATTTGGTACATGATCTTCTATTGTCTCAGGGACGAAGCCTATTGAAAATGGTTAAGATCGGTCCATTATTTCACCTAGCCCCCATACAACTGAACCCCCCAATAGGGCTTGTAATCTTTGTAATCAAACTACAGGTCGCAATTTTGCAGATAATTCAATGAAATTTGGCACATGATCTTTTATGGTACCGTAGACGAAGCCTATTGAAAATGGTTAACATCGGTTCTTTATTTCACCTAGCCCCCATACAACTAAACCCCTCGAATAGGGCTTGTAATCTTTGTAATCAAACTACAGGTCGCAATTTTGGAGATAATTCAATGAAATTTGGCACATGATCTTTTATGGTACCGTAGATGAAGCCTGTTGAAAATGGTTTACATCGGTCCATTATTTCACCTAGCCCCCATACAACTGAACCCCTCGAATAGGGCTTTTAAAACTTGTAATCAAACTACAGGTCGCAATTTTGGAGATAATTCAATGAAATTTGGCACATGATCTATCATAGACGAAGCCTATTGAAAATGGTTAACATTGGTCCATTATTTCACCTAGCCCCCATACAACTGAACCCCCGAATAGGGCTTTTAAAACTTGTAATCAAACTAAAGCTTGCAATTTTGGAGATAATTCAATGAAATTTGGCACATTCTTTTATGGTACCGTAGACGAATTGAAAATGGTTACCATCGGTCCATTATTTCACCTAGCCCCCATACAACTGAACTCCCGAATAGGGCTTTTAAAACTTGTAATCAAACTACAGGTCGTAATTTTGGAGATAATTCAATGAAATTTGGCACATGATATTTTATGGTACCGTAGATGAAGCCTGTTGAAAATGGTTAACATCGGTCCATTATTTCACCTAGCCCCCATACAACTGAACCCCCGAATAGGGCTTTTAAAACTTGTAATCAAACTACAGGTCGCAATTTTGGAGATAATTCAATGAATTTTGGCACATGATCTTTTATGGTACCGTAGATGAAGCCCGTTGAAAATGGTTTACATCGGTCCATTATTTCACCTAGCCCCCATACAACTGAACCCCCGAATAGGGCTTTTGAAACTTGTAATCAAACTACAGGTCGCAATTTTGGAGATAATTCAATGAAATTTGGCACATAATCTTTTATGGTATCGTAGACGAAGCCTATTGAAAATGGTTAACATTGGTCCATTATTTCACCTAGCCCCCATACAACTGAACCCCCGAATAGGGCTTTTAAAAATTGTAATCAAACTAAAGGTCGCAATTTTTGAGATAATTCAATGAAATTTTGCACATGATCTTTTATGGTACCGTAGATGAAGCCTGTTGAAAATGGTTTACATCGGTCCATTATTTCACCTAGCCCCCATACAACTGAACCCGCCGAATAGGGTTTTTAAGTTCATAATTATGTTTAATATACTCATATCTCGACAAAAAGCTGCAATAACCAAGTTGTATACAAGACGAATTCCATAATAATAGGTTCTCATATGACCCTAGCCCCTATGAAAAGCCCCATCAAAATTTCACTTAAATGTCCCCAATTTTATTCAACAATAAACGGCTTAAGTATGTATATCTAAGGCAAGGTACAATTCAACTTAAATGCTTTATTATGGCAACTAAATCACATTATATTTTTGTCAAAGGTGTAGGGTATTATATGGTCGGCCTCGCCCGACTATAATTTCTTACTTGTTTTAGTTTGGGATTTTTTTGTGCTTTTGATTTGTGTGTTTTTTTATTATTTGTATATGTTTGTCTTTACTTTGAAATTTTTACTTAAGCATTTATTTACTTGAGAATTTATTATTTTATCAAAATAAATTTGTATTAGGTAAGCAAATTTTTTTTCCGTACAAGTAAAAAAAATATAAAATATATAATATAAAATATATATATAAAACTGTGGTTTAGTCACACTCACAATCTTGGGTTTTGTGCTTGAGGAAATGAACTCAGAATGTTTGTTTTATGAACAATAATAAACGTGTTTTGGATTTTAGGTTTAAGAAAACTAATAGAACAGAATTTATGTAAATTTATTTTCGATATAAGTGAAGGTTTTGTCTTCATTTGGGTTAGGTC